GGAGCCCCTTCCCTCACATTGTTGTATATAGCACTGCCCTGCACTTCCTGCATATACAGCTGGTGAACTCTGTAAATAAACCCTTGTGTTCAGCTGATTCAGGAGTCCTGCGTTTGAGTCCCCTGCATTGAACCTTAACACGATCACTGTCGGCCTCTCTCAGTTTTTAAAACCTTACAATGTAACTACACCCCAGCCCATAAAGTAGTATCTTAATGACTAACCTTGTATTGTAGATGCATTATCTCAGTTGTTCTAAGTAAGAACGTTTAGATTAGAGGTTGTTAGATTAGAGGTTGTTAGATTATAGATTTCTATGGACAAAAACAACTTGATAACAAACGATGGTTACATCATGAGCAAGGACGTACATAGGAGGACTTGACGAACCAAGTGATACATTATTTCAGTCTCCGTTCAGAAGAACTTTGCCAGCACAGGGATCTTACCTCACAATATAAAATGCCTCGAGGCAATCTGTTGTTGTGATTTGGTGCTACATAAATAAAATTGAATTAAATCGAATTGAACATGAAAAATTCCTTTCCAGGCAGCTGGCACACTCACAGATTTAGACCTTTGTTAGCATGGGTGTTAATGGTTCTGTGTGTATGTGAATGCCTGGACTGTAGCAAGGATTTTGCCAGCTATTTCTCGAGGCACTGACCACAGCCAGCAGGTGATGTCATACCCGTTGAAATTTGTGATGTCTGGCCCTTTCCATTATTTTCTGTTGTCCCTTTGCAGAGATCAAGGACAAACTTGGGTTTTGACAGAATTCACCCAAACCTGAGACTTTTACATGTGTAGTGTGGTGGTTGGTTTGCCAGAAGCACAGAGAGTGGGCTGAACTGAAATGTTTAAACTTTAGTGAAGGTTTTGATTCTGTATGTTTCTCACATCACCCTGTTATATTTAACGGTGCTTCAAAAGACACGGCTAGAAGTTGACATTGCAGTTATACAGCTGAAAGATGCAACAAACAACAGGTGGTGGATCAGGTCGTAGTCAATATAGAAATTAAACATCAATGACAGCTGGATGATAAGAGGTTTAGAGGTATATTTTAAAATGCTGGACGCTTTTTACACCGTACTGTTTGCATGATGAAAGTAGAGGGCACCCTAACATTTTATATTGGACAATTAATTAGTCCTCTCATTTTCAAGCTTCAAAGGGCATGGTTGATTCAAGGCATCAAGAGGCCATGGAGCACGCTTGTCCAGACAGTCTGAATCCATAAATACAGATCCCTTTCCTGCTTTGACCTGCCGCTTTACAGATGAAGAGAAGAAAAGTTGGGAAAGTAAAAGTTTCTCAAAAGGACACGACAGAAGTCACAGAAGATGTGCCTCATCTAAGAGTGTCGCCTAACAAGTTCCAGTGGAACAGATGCACATAACACGGTGCCCTGTGCCAAAAGATTCCAAATTAGATGACGAATATGCACATTAATTAAACCTAACTGCTTCCCTTGCCATCAGCTTTTCACCAGAGAACTGTGAAATGTTTCAGGACCATTAGCAACGCAACAAAGCCAGCACAGACATGCCAGCAAGTGTGAAGACCAGCCCTGAAAATTATACTAAGTCATAAGTAAATGGCATCTACATGGCCTCAACTTGCTCATATTGCAGTGCTTATATAATCAAAGACAGCAAGCGAAATGAAGCCAGTGAAAGCAGCCTCCTCCCAGCCCAGTTCCTTAATCTTAATTATGCAAATTCTCATTACCATTGATCAACAACCACTGACTAAAACCCACTGATCAAAGCCCACTGATCAATGGCCAAGAGTACCATTCACAGAGAGTTGGGGAATGGCTGCAATCACAGCATTGTAAGCATTGTCACATGTATGAGAACACAGAAGAGTTTGCATCCATTATCTCCATTTAACCAGGACACGCTGGAGATGTCTGAGGAGAGATCATCTAAAGCAGGAAACCTGGACGGAGGCATAGTGAGAAACTTGAAACCAATAGATGTAAAACTAACATTAACATTATTTTTCCTATTAGTTATCAGCAGTAAACACCGTGTTGTCAGAACGTATCCTCAGACTGGGAGGCTTCATTGCTCCGGGAAAGTCTTATTTCATTATTACTGTTTTGAATATATTAGCTTCTTGGTGACTGAGTGCATCAGAAAGCTTGGCATTATGCAAAGTACTGGTAACAGGTGAGATATCATGCGCTGCTGACACATTTGCATGCATTTTATTGCACCTGGGTCACTCACCTGTGTACTCCTATTCAAATTATGCTCTTTGCACTGCAAACCAAACCGATGCTTTCTGACTGTTGCACGGGCCGTTTTTTACTGATATTTAACTATTTGTATACACATTATATATATATATATATATAAACTACTGTTTAATGTGCAAATACTGTGTAATTGTCCAAACTCTAAGTATAGAATATACATTAAAGATCTAACAACTGTGACATTAGCCGTTGCATTTGTGGACTTTATCTTTCTGGCTGTCACCATCTTCTTTTTCTGGAGTGAGAAGTGACCATATTTAGACCAGAGAATGCTAAGCAACAACACTAGACCGTAAGGGTACAATGCAAAGACACAGATACCTGCTAATTCATGCCAAGTAGAAGACAAATAAACAAGAAATCCACTCACCAAAACTGAAGCACAAACTTCATGAACAGACTGTCTTTTACAGCAAGCCACATTATCATAATTATTTCATTCTGTCTCTCAGCGCTCACTTTTTCTCTCTCCTCTGTTTCCCTTCACCCCTAACTGGTCACAGCAGATGGCTCTACCTCCCTGAGGCTGGTTCTGCTGGAGGTTTCTTCCTGTTAGAAGGGAGTTTTTCCTTCCCTGCATTGCCAGGGGCTGCTCAGAGGGGATCGTCTGATTGCTGGGGTTTTTCTAACATTGAAGGGTCTTTACCTTACAATATAAGGTGTCTTGGGGTGACTATTGTTGTGTATTGGTGTATAAAAATGAAATTGAATTGAACTGAATTGAGTATGTGCTTTTTAAAAAAATTTAAAATTATCATTTTATCATAGGAGTCCATGGGCACTGGCACCAGCCTCAAGAAGCCTTTGGAGGAATTGCACTTTTTGGGGGCCCTTTTGCTTTGGCTTCATTTATTTCACTGCTTTGCCCCCAGCTATGTTTCCCAGCTAGGCTGCCCACTGTCATATTCATAAAACTAATTTAAGAGAAGTCTTGTTGTGTAATAAGATTGATTATTACGCTGGATGCATTCGAAGATGGCAAAAATGTAATCTACAATATGCAACATCCAGACAACATGTGGAATTTAAACCATGATAAATCGGCATTAAGAGATCCAAGAAAGCACTCCCCCACAACGCTGCACCCTGCTCTTGCATCCTGCAATGTTACCACAAGGTTTTTTTGCGTCCATGAATTCATGCTGTTGTTTCCAGATTCTGGGTGCAGCATCTGCAGAAATGGCGAGGCATCAGCACAGTCTTTATGCTGTCTAGCTTTGACAATGCTGTGCTGATGACTACCTTAGAGTTCTTAGCTGGCTGCTGTAGTAGACCATTCATGAAAAGAAAGGCTCAATGCATTACATTGAACACTGGGGAAAAGAATATAATAGCAAGAGTTTTGTATTGCTTATGAGTGACATTGACCATATACCAATAGGTATTGCGGAATTGCACTGTAAATATATAAGACTAAAACTGTGGATCAGTGAGGATGTTGAGGTGTTTTAGTGTGCTTTTATCAACCAATTAGAAGTGTTGGAAACTGCCAAATATCACTGTGTGTTTGATTTAAATTGCAGACCTAAAGCTTTAGAGCTTTAGGCTAAAAAATCATCTCAGTTTTTAGAGCTATGTGAATGAGAACTGACTTCTGCTGTTTCTGCTATTTCACAAACATGTATCAATATTTCCAGTGACTGACATAAAAGGATTTATTACAGCATATTTAAAATAATATATTTACATAAGAGAACATGGAGTTCAGGAACCATGGTATCCCAGCAGTCGTGGTATGTATGACTGATTCCTCTGCTCTGTGAGCTGTTCGTCACATATCAAACACCACAGATGAAATTCTTCTGTGGAACACAGGATTAATGTGATTTGTCCTCAAACTGGATTAGCTCAGTTCCAGGTGTGCTTATGCCTCAATCACAGATTCCTCCTGCAGATTTGCAGGGAGACCCTTCTTCATCCCTTTATCAGTGGATATCTGCATTCTGCTGAGTATCCACAATAAGGAGACTGAATCCTAATAAGCAGATATAGTCAGCTAATTATTGACCACAAGTAAATACGGGAAATAACTAAAGCCAAGCCAAGTTACCCAAAGCATAATTGCATTTATTAGAAACAACAAAATATACAAAACATAACAAAAAATGTCTAATTAACATGTACTCTCTGTATACTGCTACTTTTGGCTGTGCATTACAAACACACTGGCTCCTTTCATGTGAGCCGCCCGCCCTCTGTTGGTGACAGTCGTGTATTACAGAACGCCGATGCGCTAAAGGTCACGTTTCTTTATGTTAATATGTAATAAAACATTTTTACGCCAAGAAAGGCTTGTCTGCGTTTAGGCGGGGTCTTTGTATTTTGTTTTGTTTTTTCATAAGTTGAAAATCTATCGAGATTAGTCATATTAATGTTTGTCGTTTATATGTTTATAGCACATTTAATTATAACAGCAACGTTGACAAAATAACTAGTAAAATAACTTATAATATTAATGTGTTTCATATATGGCAATCAGGCTAATAACTGCAGACTACATGAAGTCTTTGTTTGTTCTGGGTTAAGCCTATAATTTAATTAAACAAGCAGACGTAAACAAGAACTTTTTGTTTGACATTAATGGATTAACAAAGCCCAATGTGTCCGTGTTTGAAGGCCACACGTTGTTTACCGTGAGGAAAAAACAAACCACTGGCCAACTTCATGATCAAGAAAAAAAATCTACCGCTATCAACGCTGGGAAATGTATTTTTAGCATGTCTTTGGACCGTCGCAGTCGGGAGAACTTCATTTCCCATCAGTCTTTGCGCACTTAGGGTTACACGCTGCTCTCCACCACGCAGTCAGAGCTGTTGAAACGATAACTGTGGTTCTTGAACGACATAGCTCGCATGGCCCTCCGGTTTGAGGAGTGCAACACCTAAATTCTAGTAAGTGCAGTCAGCTTTCTGTCCACTCCTTTAGTATTGTTTATTCACGTACTGGTTAGTTATTGCTTGCGTGAGTTAGCAGAGCAACTAGCTAACAGGCTAACGTTAACCGTCAGAAGCCGAAGTTGGCAGCTGTTCAGAGTTTGGCTTTAGCACACGGCTGTCGGTCAGTGTCTAAGCTAGACTAGCTGTCTGCTGTAATGAGTGAAGCCTCTTTGCTTCGCCACCCGCTAAAGACCCACGTAGTTATATGGGAACTAAAAGCTGCGTCCTGTTTGTCCTCAGGACACAACTGTCCAATGTCAGCCACCCTAAAATAGACCCCTGTGAAAATCTTCCATTACTGTGACTCAACATTTCCGGGTGCAGCTTGTAAAATAAGTCACGAGGAATGTCCGCCGTCGTACGGTCTATTTGGGTGCTTTTATTTTGAGGACCGTTGTTGTGACTTCCCGTCTAATTGCAGTACTTTCACATAGCTTGGGTTTGGCTAACTGTAGGTAGGTCAGCTAAAATGTGCTGTCATACAGCAGTCACTTAGCTCAGTTTCTGCAGCTCCACATAAGAAACATAGATTAATATCTTTAGGAAGAACTCCCTGCATGCAGCGCTCACTCACCAGTTTCACTTTAGGTGCTGAGTTTATGGTTCTGCTGTCATTAAGCAGGGTTTGTTCGGGACCTTTAATCTGTGGCATCCTTGGGGAAGATAACATTACAGCTACTGCATGAAGGGACTTAGATCAGGGCTGTTTAGTACACAGCATAGATAACCCAGAGTGCCCAGCACGTTTCAGTGCATTTCAGACTGAAAATGGAGCTGAAATTAGTCACTTTACAAGTAAATACTTTGATAATTTATTAGTTTTTCACTGAAGGAATATTTTTATGCATGTGTTTAGAAAGAAGGGTGTTGGATTTTTGTTTCTCTTCTTGTTGTTGAATCTTTAGGTTTTGAGTCCTTGATGGACCCAAATAAGCAGTTTAAATTGGCAACTGTGGATGAGCATTTCATAGATTAAATGATTATTAGGTTAATTAGATTACAATTTAAAGTGCCTTTCTCTGTCTGATCCTGCAGTCTGTGGTTGAACATCACAGCTGAAAGGAGGAGGGCGAAGAGAGGAGGAGGATGATCATGCAGCGCATCCTTACTCATGGGACACTCCGACGGGTGGCGGCGGTGCGCCCACTGCTGCTGGGCATCGCCGTCCCCGACACCCCAGTAGCATTTTGTTGGCACGCCCTCCGTCAGTCGCCACCTGTTGGCCAGCGTTGGCTCTCCACTTCGGCCGTCAGCACAGCAGCACACCAACCAAAGCACCAGCCGGCACAGGGGGAGCCGCAGTCTGACACCACGACGCCTCAGACACAGGACAACCCGGGAGAGAAAGCAGCACCTGATCCTGCAGAGGTGGACCCTCTTCAGGACAAGTCCATCGGCCTGTTCCAGAGGTTCAAAAGGACCTTTAAACAGTATGGGAAGGTGATGATCCCTGTGCATCTGGTGACTTCCTCTGTTTGGTTTGGAACCTTCTATTACGCTGCTATGAAGTGAGTGGTGCTCTGCTTAAATGACTTTATTTTGATGTTTATGAAGGACTAAATGTTAAATCTAATTCTGATGTGCCATATCATCAAGAGATTATTATGCTTTTGTTGTTGACTCTGCTACTGTTGCAGTGGGAGGTGCTTTGAGTTTTAAATAATGAGGTCAGTGCATTGTGAGAAATCCTGTGAGCTCAAAGCTCAGGCCTCAGACTGCACCTGTCACAGGCTGAGCAGTAACAAAGTGCCTAGAGATAAAGTTCCACACTGGTACAATGTTGAGTTTTCTGTTATGTGGAGCCACTGTTTTAATGATCGAATGTTTCATAGGTCAGCGTTAAGTTTTGTAACAAACAAAAAAACATTGATATGAAAATATGGGCTTTTTTTGCTTCCTCAGGGGTGTGAATGTAGTGCCATTCCTGGAGATGATTGGTCTACCAGAGTCACTAGTTGGCCTTTTAAGAGACTCATCGAGTGGGTATGCGCTGACTGCATATGCCATGTACAAGGTAAATTAATTCCAGACTACGTTTAAATTGACTCCCTGCGGCATACCTGCTTCTTACTTTCAAAGCACTTTATAACCTTGCTCCCCCTTATTTATCGGATCTTCTCCATACGTACTAACCCCGTCGTACACTCCGCTCTTCTTCAGCTTCCCTTCTGTTTGTGCCACCTGCTCACCCGACTCAGAGCCTTTAGTTGTTCTGCCCCTAGACTTTGGAATGCACTTCCACCAGATCTCTGAACTACAAACTCTCGCTCCACTTTTAAATCGCATGTTATGATCGCATTTAACTCATGTAGCGCTCCACTTGTGTTCATTACTTATTTACAGGGTCAGACTACTTTCTTTATGTGAGCTAGTTTGACCTAGCAAGAAACTAGGTCAAACTCTGTTCCCAGTTAGCTCTGGGAACAGGGCGAATCATGGCGCTAATTCGCCCAGTAATGGTACTGGGAACAAAGGTTTTAAACAAGCGTGTCATTATCCCACTCCCACACCAGTCACAACCACTGAACCTGGATCCTTTGTTTGGAGCTGTTCTGTCTCGTTGTACATATGAAAAGCACATACGGTGTATTTAAACTCACTGATGGGTTTTTTTTTCTCTCCTACAGATCGCAACCCCTGCTAGATACACGGTGACTCTGGGCGGCACGTCACTGTCCATTCAGTATCTCCGCAAGCACGGCTACTTATCCACACCGCCACCAGTTAAAGAGTACTTCCAGGACAAAATGGAGGAGACGAAGGAGAAACTGACAGAAAAGATGGAGGAGACAAAGGAGAGATTTTCAGAGAAAATTGAGGAGACAAAAGAACGCTTCAATGAGAAAATGGAAGAGACGAAAGACAAGTTCTCTGAGAAACTACAGGAGACCAAAGACAGAGTCTCTGAGGGAAAAGCCTTCTTTCAAAAGAAAAACGATTAGAGAATCATGTCTACAGGTGGTGTCTCTGAAAATATGGTCATGTTGTGATCTCAAAATGATGTACTGAGTAATGTGGGAATCAAATGGCAGATGGTACCTCTGAGACTGGAAGGAGGAGAGAGATGCTGCACTATCCCTGTCCTGAAACCCTCCTCACACCTCTCAGTCATGTTTTCTGTTTAAGTGTCCAGTCGAGTCCCTTTCTGTCTGAACTCTGCCTCCCTGCACTAGATAGCAGCTTAGTGGACTGCTGGCAATGCTACCTTCTGACACTGTCATCTCAGACTGGATTTGCACACACTCAAGTAATCTGTACTCACTCTGTTGGCTCTTTAAAGAGGAGCACTGTTCTTGTTTCTCTTGTCACACCCATCAATACAGAAAGGGGGGGGTGGGGGGGGGGAGGTCTGGGCTTCAGAGATATAAACAATGTGTCCGTGTAATAACAGCACCTGGAGAGAGCAGTGCTAATCATTGTAGCTGTTAGGGAATAAAACTTGAAGCTCATCTGTGTGTACTAGTCCATTAAAGCCTTTCTCAAGGCTCAGAGTGTCACCTGCTGTCTTTTCTAATGAGAGATAAATGAAAGTTTTCTAATGTATTTTCATTTGATAGCCAAAGCTAATGTGTGACAGCGTTTCAGTGTTCGTGTCACTGTTAGGGCAGTAGTGAGTAAATGTGCAGTGCATAAAGCATGTATGAGCTGCACACACAGTGTCACACATGAACAGCAAGAGGGTCTTCATGACTTTTGCACAACGACACATTGGTTTTGTCAGGAATTCACACAGATGTCCACTGTAAACAACAACAGAATAAAAGTCAAGTGCTAACCAAATGATGTTTGAAACTTGAAGTGTGTGTTTTATGTAATGTGACAGTGTGTTCTCTGTGCTTCAGCTTTCCCTCACAGTCTAAACAGGTTAATTAGTGTTAATTAGTCTTTGTATATAACCAGAGCGTGGATGTGGACATAAATAGTTGCTTCTGCAGTGATTTCCAGTTCTGGCATGTTCCATTAATGGATTAGAGGTAAGATGATGGGATGTCTCTGTACCTAAACTGACTCCATGTCTTACTCGTACTCGGGTTTCCCGGCTATTATCCTTCTGAGCAAATGTTAATCAGTGTTAGATTTTTTTTTCTCTTTTGCTGCATTTTGATGATCATGTGAGGTGTCATCTCCCTTTTCAGGTTTTACAGAGATTGCAGAAGAGATTAAACATAAAATGTCCCGTGATAGGTAGAAGTGCTTGTGTGAATGAGGCATGTTGTATAGCCAGGACCCTGCAGAAGAGAATGAGTGGATGTAACAGATAATGTAAGCAGGAATAAATAAGTGCTAACAGACAAACATGCAACCACACCAAAAACAGAACCTCCCTCGCATTTCCAATAACGGATGATTTTTTTTTGGCACTTTAAGCGTTTTTACATTTCCTTCTTGTTTTTGATTAAACATTAGTGCTAACAAACTTTAATCAAAAATAGGAAGGAAATATAAAAACGCTTAATGTGCCAAAAAATCAAATTATTGCAGCTGCCAAGGAGCTCTGTAGCTCAAAAGTTTTGAATGAATTCTGATAAAACTTTGTAGTGTTACAGAGGGGGGACTGTGTTAACAATCCGTTAAACCGTGCCATACATCCAGGCTCTTCAAGGTCAGCAACTTGTTGGTCAAAAGCTTGCAAAAAACAAACCTCAAACTATGATTCTTCAAGTGTTGTTTGTATTGTCAGCAAATAGGAAGTACCATACAGAGATTTAAAATATCACGACACCATGGTCCTCAGCCAGAAAGAGCGGAGAAGTTTAAGGATCTCTGGCTCTTGTTCAAGAGTGAGGAGAGAAGGGAGCAGGAGATCGACAGACAGATTGGTGCTGCAGCTGCAGTGATGTGGATGCTGTCACGGTCCGTCATGGTGATGTCACATTTGAACTCTGACCTCTCCTTCAAGGTCAACAGATTGAGCTCAAGGTCAAGGTGATAATAATGTTTAATAGAGCAATTTAAAATAATTTTTCTTACAGCTGTTTTTGTATTGACAGCAAACATGCATATACAGCAGCGTGGTGGTGCAGTGGTTAGCACTGTTGCCTCACAGCGAGAGGTCATGGGCTCAAAATGCTCTGTGTGGAGTTAGTATGTTCTCCCTGTGTCTGTGGGTTCTCTCTGTCCAGAGACGTCCAGTTAGTGCGGTTAACTGATGATTCTAAATTGGCCCTGTGACAGCGTATTGACCTGTCCAGGGTCTACTGTACATCCAGCACCCCTGTCAACCTGAACTGGATAAGGGGGCTTATAGGGAATTATATACGTGGATTCTAAATATCAAATGATAGTTTTTGTCCAAATATCATGTCACATTTGACCTCTGACCTTATTTCACATCTGCCTTTCTTTCAAGTTGACCGCAAAATATGTTTAATTTTTTAAAGAAAGTGTGTCAGGAGAAAAAGCATGAGCTTCTTAGATAGTTAGAAAAAATACCGTATGATAAAATCTGCAATAAGCAAAAAACAAAAAGTAAGGAAATGAGTGTTTGATCGATTATTGTAACAATAAATGTCATACCACTGGGCTGGAAAGCCTATTTATTTGTTTATTAAACTGTGACATTTGTAAGAAAAACGCAGTTTTGTGTTGAGCTGCAAACTTGCCAAACAGTTTTTTCTGTGGATTTCGACTGTTATGTAAAAAGGTCAAATGATTCATATCCAGTTATTTGCAAATCATACATATTTGTGTGATCAGAGTAGACCTCTCCCATGCTACTCTTATCTGATTTTTACTGAAGTGCAAACTTCTTAAAGTAAATTTTAGAAAAACACAAAATGTATATATTAAAAATATAATACTGTTTCATTAAAAATAACTACTGCTCAGAGAGTGAGCTGACTTGGTGGAGGATGTGTTCTCAGAGCGATTCTTCTTTCGTTTAGACAGTCAGTGTGACAGACCACCCAACTTGGTGTTTCCATCACTTCTACAGATTTTAGGATCATTTAACTCAGTCTGCTGGTTTTAAACATTAAACTGAAATGTAGAGAAGTAAAAGGAAACAGGTCCTGCCTATACTGAAAATACAGGCTCTAAAGTACATCCTGAATTCAGCAGAAGTTAAAACCATAGAAGGGGCGTGCACTTGCTGAGATTTCAGTAGATGCTCCCCAGAGATAAAATCCCCAGGCAGGACAACAGGTGGGAAAACGTCCGGTGTGCTCAGTCGGTTACTGTCCACATTCACACCTCACACAGAGAAATCAGTGAGGTCTGAGTATTCTCTCTGCTGTCAGCATCCAGAAATGGTGGGCAGATGCAAATGTCATGCACCAGCCGGCCTCCTTCATTATGAATCAGATCTGCATGGAAATGGAAACGTGTTGCGTGCGTGAGCTGCAGTGACCTCTGCTGTCCAGACTAATGAACAGCTGCTTATGCAGTCCACGGCCCCTCGTATAAACACCTGTTTGTTCTCCCACAGGGACTAAGAAGCGGGGGGCAGAACGAGTCCTCCAATCATTTTAGTGCAAAGACAATCTGTGTTCCTCAGGTGTGAGCCAGTGGCCAAACATGACCCGAGTGTCAAGATGCCTCTGGGAAGCATGAGGTGAAGCACAGTTCAGGAGAGAAAAAGCTGTCCAAGCTGTCAAAAAGTCAATGATTTTTCACCACTTTCCATCTTTTCTCAGCAAAGGTCAGCGAATGTTTTAATGTTATTGACAGAATGTGGGTGCAGTACAAAGTTGCAGTTTGGGTCACATTTGTTGGAACTCTTTGGACTTGAAGCTGTGCTTGTAGTCAGATATAAGCTAAATTATTCTTGCAGGTACGCACTCGTTTTCTTTTGTCCACTTGTCTGTCAGCAAGACCATAGAGAACACAAACAGCTCAATTCCATGAAAGTCGGTGAAATGGAGCAAGGGTAAAACTTTGTGTCTCTGAGTGATTGTCTTTAACTCTGTGAAGTGTAACCAACCACAGCTGATTAACCTGTAACAAGGCTTAATGCTGCTGTAAGGCAAAATGGGTTTCTGTGTGTTATTGTTAGGGTTGGGTTTGAGGTCATTAGTAGTGATAACTCAGTCTTTAGAGTTAAAACTGTGTTAGCCATGGTGTAAAATGTGCTCTAGGAGAGCTCTTCTAGTTGATTTCAGTTTTTGATTCTGTATTTATGAAACATAAGGAGTGTTAAAAAATGTCTGTGGAATCTGGTATTTAAATTTTAGAGACACAGACTCCGTCCTCAGAGCAAAGACTGTGATCTTAGATACAAGCAGAGGTGATAAAATGTGTAAATGGATATGCTGCTATCGTAAGATCCAGATTTTTAGCTTTGCATTCCATTGAGATTAAAATAACGAGAGATGAAATTGAAAGTTTCTTTATGTGAATTTAAACTTCTTATAAACTCAAAAGCATTCAGCCTCTTTGTGACTGATGCAGAGTGGGAAAGCCCACAGCTGGTATCAAGCACAGGCCAACTGGAGTTTGGCCAATTTGCTCTTTAAAACTTTTTATTGTTTCAGGCTGTTTCATTTCTATTGCTTCCTGTATGAGCTTTTGTTATGGTGTAATTTTCAGGTGCAATGTTTTTTGCACCTTGGGTTTTCCTCCTTTTTTTCTATTCACTTTAAGGAATCGAGAAAATAGTTCTCTTGATCAGTGTGTTTGCTTTTGAAGTTGTTCTTGTTCTCGATTACTGCATACGATCCGAATGTTTGTGTTCACTCATCTGTCAGTTGTATTTGTATTTTCTTTATTTCTGTTTATAACATCCATCCATCCATTCGCTTCCGCTTATCCTTTTCAGGGTCGCGGGGGGCGCTGGAGCCTATCCCAGCTGTCATAGGGCGAGAGGCGGGGTACAACCTGGACAGGTCGCCAGTCTGTCGCAGGGCCAACACACAGGGACAGAAAACCATTCGCACTCACATTCACTCGCACATTCACACCTAGTGGTAATTTGGATTATCCAATTAACCTATCCCCACAAGCTGCATGTCTTTGGACGGTGGGAGGAAGCCGGAGTACCCAGAGAGAACCCACGCAGACACGGGGAGAACATGCAAACTCCACACAGAAAGACCCTGGCCTGATGGTGGAATTGAACTCAGGACCTTCTTGCTAACCACCGTGCCACCGTGCTGCCCTGTTTATAACATTTGTTGTGCAATTTCTGCTCCCACCTATACTTATATACTTAAATACTTATAAAATAGTTTGTCACTAGAATTTTACCTCATGCATTCCACCCTGTGCTCATTGACTGTGTGAATGACCTTTCAAGAGTCAGCACTATAATATATATATGAAATATCCTGTCTCAGAGTGATGCAGAAAACTAGTTCATGCATTTATTACTTCCAGGCTGGACTACTGTAATTAATTATTATCAGGATGTCCTAAAAACTCCCTGAAAAACCTTCAGTTGATCCAAAATGCTGCAGCAAGAGTCCTGACAGGGACTAGAATAGAGAGCATATTTCTCCTGTTTTGGCTTCCCTTCATTGGCTTCTTGTTAAATCCAGAATTGAATTCAAAATCTTGCTCCTCACATACAAGGTCTTAAATAATCAGGCCCCATCTTACCTTAATGACCTTGTAGTACCGTATCACCCTATTAGAGCACTTCGCTCTCGCACTGCAGGCTTACTTGAGTATTTAGTAGAATGGGTGGGAGAGCCTTCAGTTTTCAGGCCCCTCTTCTGTGGAACCAGCTTCCAGTTTGGATTCGGGAGACAGACACTATCTCTACTTT